AAATATTCAGCCAATAATCTTCGTAAATATTGGTCACGTGATACGGTCAGCTCGCAAATATTAGTCACGTGACCTACATGTCCCTCCCTGCGGCGTCTCAAATTCCAGGAATGTTGTCATAGAATTGCGGCATACTAACTCTAGCGTCAAAGCCGACGGGCTCATGTCGCATGGATGGTGCGAAAGAAACTTCGAAATAACCACGAATATGTTTCTAATAATTCTCTTTCTCTCTGTTGTGTCTTTCAAATGTTGTTCAATAAAAAAAATATCAAACTATCGTTCCGTAGGGAAACCATGTTGGCAGAAGTTCTGAAGAATACCGGGCAAAAATATGTGTTTTTCATATCCGGGGGTTAAGAAAGACCGCAACATTTGAGAACATAAAAAAATGAAATATGAATATATGCCATGAGTCACTGCGGGGGCGAGCGGTGGCAGAATTATAACATTTTGTTTTTCTATGATATTATAAAATAACGCGAAGGCTCACACCCTGCTTTAGGATGCAGACCAGATGGTACCCGGAAGTTGGGTATGCTTGTTATTTTCATATGGAACAATATCAAAACAACTTGTCAGACCTGCAATGCAAGCTATTCACTTTATGATCTGATTCGCGTGCTGCCAAGCTCGGAGTCAACAAGTGATGGGGGTTTTGGGGAGCGCTCGACCGCCCTGAAAAGGACCGGACTGGTCAGTGTCGGCGGCGGAAGGAGATGGTCATCTGGAGTTGGCGGCGATGTATAAATGTGTATGATGCGGCGGAATAGCAAACTCAGGCATGGTGATGATGGTTACATATCGCATTCTTTTCGAGACGTGTCGCGTTCTTTGTTTGCTGACAATGTGTAATTTGAATGAAAATCAACAAATTTTGTCCATAGCATCCGGTCTTTATGGCTCTGTGGCTATTTGTACAAAATTGCTGACATCAACAAAAAAGTCCACACGTGTACCGGCTATGCCGATATGCGGATCTGCTATTTGCCCACTCGCTAAATTTCTGAAAAATATTGATACAGGCTGTTCGGTGTTTGTATGTTATCATTTGCATCAGTAAGGGCTAACTCACAAACGAATTTTCTCGTGTTTTCTCGCAGTAAGACGGGGTTAAAACATTCTCCGAGGCATTGTGAAATGAAATAGCGAAATGACTGTCATATCTTTTCGTTAGCACGTATAACGTGTCATAAGGGGCCCACGACGACAAGTTAGGATTTGGACGGTTTGCTCTGGGATCAACACCGTCTCGGGAAAACTGAATATTAGTTTATAATATTACTGCCAAAACGGGCGGATCAAGGGTCATAACGTTATCACGGTGTAAACGAGCGGCGTTATGTACTTTTCTCAAGACCTGACTCTTGTTAAAAGAAAATCAGTACGTGAAAATATGGACATTGTTAATATAGCATGTCCGACAACTGACTCCCTGCCGTCGGGGTCAATTATACAGGCACAATGGAGCCGTCGCATATTCTACATGGTCATGTACTGACCGGTACAACTAAATATACCTTTGTAATACATAATATTTGATGTTTTGAAGTATGATTCAATATTGTTCGAGTTTTTGAAGATACCGTAAACAGAAAACACGTAATGCTTTCCAAGAAAATTATCTCACTGAGTGAGTGGGTTAAGTAATGGAGAAATCATGAGAAGCTGTTGATTCGGAAGTGGAATCAAATATCCCCGAACGGACTCGTTGATTCAACTTCCTTAATCAACAAATCTCTTCATTACTTAAGTCACCTAAACCATATAAAATCTCTCCATCATTTTGCATAACCTAGTGTTGCGTCAGTTTTACTTGAACAAAATGCCCGTTCAGAATGGCCAGTGACTTCGTAGCTCAGTGAGTGAGTGAGTGAGTGAGTTGGGTTTAACGCCGCTTTTAACAGTTTTCCAGTTATATCACGGCGTGCCAGCTTAATGTAGGAGGAAAGCCCGAAGTGATGCAGGTCTCAGACGTTTACTACTTCGGGCTTTCCTCCAACGGCTTACGTCCGTGTGTGAGAAAGGTTTCACGCCAATGCATGGGAGGTGCTTGACGTTTTTCTTTCGTTTATTAAAGGGGTCTGACGGTTTACTTCGGTGTATGAGAGAGGTTTGACGTTTAACGTCCGTTTTTGAGTGAGGTTTGACTTTTTACGTCCGTTTATGAGACAGGTTTGACGTTTTACGTCCGTTTATGAGACAGGTGTGACGGTTTAGTCCGTTTATGAGACGGGTTTGACGTTTTACGTCAGCAATGGTTCAACTATGTCACAGTAGTTACTACTGACTAATCGTGTTTGGAGAGACACAACCATTATATGAGCATCGACCCACGACCCCGGGGCACGATGACAAACTGATCCAGCCAAGCTACGAGGGAGAGAAAACTTGTCAGGTCGTCAACTATCCCACAATTTCCCCTAAATATCTCTATTGACGACTATTGGCAACACAACCCCCATTTGTGTATTTGTGTATTTGCCTAACACATGGTGACGTCAACCCACCCTATAGTCGCGATCATTGTACGGATGGTGGAACGACTACTGACACTTCTACCAACAGTGACCGGCGTGAATGAGCATTTGCGCATGCGCACTGATTTCACCCAGTATCCTTGCTTTACGCTCCCGGGTACGCACGTGGGTACACGCATGAACAGCAAAAAGAAGATCAAATGTGTCTTTCATATGTGCTTTGTTGCCGAACTGAAAAATGTGTTACTTTATCAAAATATATTAATTTATTATACTTTAGGAAGCTTTACAAAAGCTATTTTATTAAAACGGTTAAATGCCTTCGTTTGAAAGTAACGTTTTGTTATTTTTTAACGTAACATTTATGAAAACTGAAAGATAATTTCTTATAAAAAAACAGTATAGAAACGTAAAAATGGACGAACAATATGCTATTTTTTTGTTATCAATGATTTTTTCATTCCAACCCAAATCAAGATATTGTTGAAAGCTTGGGAGAGGAAATTCGCTTACGAGGTTTGTCTTCCGGTGTTCGTGGTCAAGGGGAAATAACTCTTGTTTGTGGTAATTAGTAACTTGTTTGTGGACATTTTAGGATGGAAAAACATGAAAATAGTTCAAAATCAGGACAAAATGTTTCAAGATAACAAGACTTACTAACCACACACGCCAGCATAATTTCTTGCAGCCCTGATCTCAAGATTGCGTTTTATTGAGAGTGGTGTGTAAATCACGAAGCTTGGCCACTTGCTTGTAATCTGACAAATGACAATGAGTTAAGTGTCATAATAAAAGAAAATAGACGTCAGCTAAAACCGCCATCTCGTAAAGTCTCGTAACTCATCGATTATTCTCGTATTAGCGTGTATCTCACCTGCACGTCCAGCGGCCGCCGGAATTAAGCACGCGCGAGCCGCGTAGAGCCAGTCCCGTGATGTGAATGGAGAGTAGCGGTAATGATATGTAGAATCATAATACACCGTACAGTCAGCGATGCTAGCAAACATTCCTCGTCATCAAAGCGACATGGCGATGTCGCGGGGTAGTTATCGTAAATAACGACATGGTTTTCATCAGGCACTACAGCACAAATCCATTATGTACAATTATTTGATTATTTCCCTGCGTTCTATGCCTCGTCAAATAAACATTCTGCGCTTTTATGAAACTAATAATTTTTCTGTATGAAACCAGTTCACGTTTGTTGCCGTGACTGTTTGAGTCCGTCGCTAATATACTTCTCTTTGATCTGCACGTGCAGTCCATGGCTCGTGCAAAGGCCGCTCCACTAACGCTACAGTGAACATACGACATTCTATCCTACAAGCGCCAAGCCTGTTCCTGGCGGAGATGGTATCTTTGATAGGACGTCATCTTGACGACCTTACGGTCAGTAAACCTCGCTATCTATAGTAACTTTTCATGTTATGATCGGAGAGTTTCCTCGGCGTATATATCCATTTAATATTACGTCTTTTGGTCTATTAAATCAAAGCCGCATTCGGATATACGCACCGCATCTGACAATTAATACCATTTCCACCGATACCTCATTAATGGCGTGTTTTACAGTAAAGTTATTTCAACATTTCGCAATTATCCTATTTATCATGATCGGCACAATAAATCTTGGCGTATAAAAATAACAGTAATCGAAAACATGACGTATCTAAGGCCCCACTGATGGGCAGTAATTGCGGGACATGGTTTTGACATTTCGATATAACGTCATTACCAATTAATTGAGATTAGTTGCGTTAAATATGTATTGTGATCATTTATATTTGTTCGGTCCATACAAACATCATGTTCGGCCAAAATGCCGTAAATCCTTCTGAATGAATGGCGGGGAATTGAATGAAATCTGTTGAAAGGCGGAAATACCAATTTAACGTCAAAGTTCATACACATGATGGGTAATATTATTCGATATTGTGTGAAATATATCTCAGTTTTAATAATAATATAAATAATCGTCTCCACCGACATTGATTTTGTCTCATCCACCCGTGCATCATGTCGACAAGGGGCGGTCGGGTAGCCTAGTGATTAAAGCGTTCGCTCGTCACGCCGAAGACCCGGGTTCGATTCCCGACATGGGTACAATGTGTGAAACCCATTTCTGGTGTCCCCCGCCGTGATATTGCTGGAATATTGCTAAAAGCGGCGTAAAACCATACTCACTCATGTCGACAAGGGAGGTAACTCGGCTTCTAGTGATGTTATCGCACCAGCAAACATACATGTTCGAGTTGTTTTTTTCCAAAGTGGGAGTACATGTGGATATGATGGAAAGGATTTTCTTCTTATATTTCAATTCAATGTGCAGTGTTGCATCCCTTTTTCATTGGTTTGAATCCCAGATTGGCCCTGATTGGGAACACCAGCGCGCGTGGGTGTCACAAAAGTGGTTAACGTCTATGCCTGCATCCCTTCAGGAACTCCTCACTCACGCACTCAATCCTAATCCTACGATGACCGGGTAGAGTTACCGGAACATTGGTCTGACCAAAAGGCTGATCATGTCGATTCTTTTGGTGATCCAATCATTCGATGGTTGACTTCACGGTTGAATCGGCTTGATGTCCTACCCGGCGATACACGGCTTGATGTCCTATCCGGCAGGTCACGGCTTGATGTCCTACCCGGCGATACACTGCTTGATGTCCTACCCGGCTGGTCACGGCTTGATGTCCTATCCGGCGGGTCACGGCTTGATGTCCTATCCGGCTGGTCACGGCTTGATGTCCTACCCGGCTGGTCACGGCTCGATGTCCTACCCGGCTGGTCACGGCTTGATGTCCTATCCGGCTGGTCACGGCCTGATGTCCTATCCTGCTGGTCACGGCCTGATGTCCTATCCGGCGGGTCACGGCTTGATGTCCTATCCGGCGGGTCACGGCCTGATGTCCTATCCGGCGGGTCACGGCTTGATGTCCTATCCGGCGGGTCACGGCCTGATGTCCTATCCGGCGGGTCACGGCCTGATGTCCTATCCGGCGGGTCACGGCCTGATGTCCTATCCGGCTGGTCACGGCCTGATGTCCTATCCGGCGGGTCACGGCTTGATGTCCTATCCGGCGGGTCACGGCCTGATGTCCTATCCGGCGGGTCACGGCTTGATGTCCTATCCGGCGGGTCACGGCCTGATGTCCTATCCGGCTGGTCACGGCTTGATGTCCTATCCGGCTGGTCACGGCTTGATGTTACATCCGGCAGGTCACGGCGTGGTAGCCCTCCCAGCGGATCACGGCTTGATGTCCGACACGGCGGGTAACGGCTCTATATGAGACCAGCTATTAATATACACTAGACACCGGCGTGGTATGACATGACTTCATTCGCAAATACACAGACAAACCCCTTTACATGATGCTGCTTTCTGATAATGCATGCCCTTCAAAACAGCATATTTCTTGACTTACATACAGATAGCTTCAAGAGCTGTTGAAAAAAGATGTTGTCGAATCGATTCCGTCGAGAGTTAAGGCCCCTTTGTTTCTACATGAAAACGCCTGGTTGTATTGGTGTGATTTCCTACTCCAACGTCATGTATTGATTTTTGATAGTAACAGTTTACTTTGGTCCGCGCAGCAAATACACATGAAAGAGAGAATAATACCAGCAGTGTACCTTAAATATACAATTACCCAACGAAATTCCAGACACCAGTGCAGCATCTTCAGACTTGGTCGGATGTTCTGCGACAACCATCCTCCGTAATGTTCTATTTTGCGATATGATATTACCCTGTCAACTGCTAATAGATGCCATCGAGCGTCTGTCGATCATACCCCAGACGGTTGCTCGTGTTAAACGTGTCTAATGAGAGATTGAAGAATCCAAGAAAAACAGTAGGAAGTGATCCATAACCCAATGTTATTGGGGGCAGAATACCAGGTCATTTCTGCGCCATATACACACAGGTCTGACATGGCTTGGACATAACACGGAAATCATTTCAATATGTCCGCCAAGAAAATTGACGCTCCGATTATACCGTGTATGTGAAGGCCAAAACCCAATATCCTGAGTATGATAAATTGCTGTATAATAACCAGTTTAAATAATGTCAAATATGGAAATAACCGATCGGGATAATCTCCAAGATTGCCCCAAACAGTACGAGTCCATTATACCCCATCAGGCGATTTCCTTTCGTGTTTATGCTCTATGATCAAAATTCACTTAGTTCCAAAGATCAATGTCATGTAGCCATCAGATAATAGCCGGGTTATTAACATGACAGATTCGAATCAACACAATCAGTCATTACACTTTGTATGTCGATTTCATGGATGAACAATGTCGGCCTTTATCGCTTATTCTTCGTTTATGTATTCCGTAATAAGCCAGAGTAAGCGAAGCGCCTGATGGATGTAAGAGGACTATTACTGGTGAGATTTTGAATGCGAGATCATCGAAAACTGGGACCAGGCTTTTTCCATTCATTTTGCAGCCGGATTCGGCTCATATGAGGCAATTTAACGTAGTTTCAGAAATTTCATTTTCTACTTTATGAATGTTTGTGTCGTGTATTATATCCTTTGATGTGTGGGCTATAAATTATCCAAAGGCTGCGGTTTATGACTAGAGAAAACACGCGCACAAGGCAATGCAGCCGGGGGATATTTTCTCTGTTTATGAAAAAGCAACATATTGTTGATTTAAACTTTATTTAGATTGTCGTATTCTCTGTTTCGCTTCGCGTCTGTCATGGCATCACCTACGCGCTTCCATAACGGCTATTGATACGTCACTTTAAAGGAACGTTTTGAGTCGGGTTAAAAACTTGTCACCAATAGCAAAACAAATGTAGCCATTTTGGAAATTAGACTCGGGACCAAAGGGAATGAGGGTATGTTTTTCTCACGCCCAAAATTGGGGATTGTCATATGAGATATCTGGCTGTAATTGATTGAGTGCCCGTTATGGCCTTTCAATACAAACTCTCATCACTGAATTCCCAATGATTCAACCAGGTGCTTTTATCTGAGTCAATAGCAATGACCCTGTTGGCGAATAAGTTGCTTTGGGCGCGGTTGTAACATCTCATCAGAATGTGTGAATTAAAAAGTAAAAACGAAAAATACCACCAACAAAAGATTTTGAAAACCCTCAAGCTCCTCCAAGACGTCAAAATCAGGTCAGTTTCAACATTGTTAGTGAGAGGATGGTTTTAGGTTGTTTATATGGCAATATTACAACAATATCATGACGGGGGACATGAGAGGCGGGCTTCATGCGTGAAGACAGCGTGAAGAGTGACACAGTGTCGGGGTACGATGACTTACACACAGGTCACACTTTGTAATCACACGAACCTCTTTGTACATGGCTCCTGCCACCAGTATTGGGGATGCTGGGTTCTGTTCTTCCCCGGAATCAGGGGGTACGGGTGGCCCAGTCGTCTAAGGCGCCGCTATTCGCTGTGCAGGGTTGCGTCCCTTGGGCACGCCAGAAACCTATGATTGTGGGTTCGAATCCCGGTTCGCCCCGATTATGTTTCCAGGTTTGTCAGCACCATACCCGTGCTCGTGGGTTTCACCGAAGTGGTAAACGTCTGAGATCTGCATCGCTTGGGGCTTTCCTCCCACATTAAGCTGACACGCCGCGATATAACTGGAATACTTTTAAAAGCGGCGTTAAACCCAACTCCCTCACTCACTCACTCTTCCCCGGAACCCCCTTGGAAGACAATCATGAGTGAGTGAGTGAGTGAGTGTGTGAGTGGGGTTATATACAACTGCATGCAATATCACGGCGAGGAACACCAAAAAGGGCTTCTCTCATTGTGCCTACGTTGGGACCGATTTGATTAAAAGATAAAAGATTGAGTTGTATAATAATAATGACGATGATGATGATGAGTGAGTATTGTTTTACGTCGATTTCGCAATATTCCAGCAATATCAATATCAAATGGGCTTCGCACATTGTGCACACATTTTGACTGACATGGATTAAAAGATAAAAGATTGAGTTGTATAATGATGATGATGAGTGTGAATGAGGTTTTACGCCGCTATTAGCAATATTCCAGCAATATCAAGGCAGGGGACACCGTAAAATGGGCTTCAATCATTGTACTCATTTGGGGAATCGAACCCGGGTCTTCGGCGTGACAAGCCGGCGCGTTAACCACTCGTCTATGATGATGATGATGATGATGATGATATGAGCGGAGTTGTACTTCCTAACAATATGGGATCATTCGCTTATTTGTTTCAACCCAGCATTCAGGTGAAGCAGTGTTTTTTCTTTCATGTTAACTCAATATAACTGTGAACAAACGCATCGCCACGACAGTTGAGATTAACACAGATTAACGACGCCTTGCGTGTGCGTGCTTTCATATGTTTATTCAAGTCGTTGGCCATACTTTATGAGCTTGTTTCAAACAGTGATTGATTATAATCCACATTCATACGCTGAGTTTTCACAGGAAGGTCCCGTGTGAATTCTGGGAATAAATAGGCCCCCAGTTGGCTATGCTTATTGTAGAGTTGGCGTCATTATAAGATCGAGTGGGTATACATTATAAGCTGGTTGCGTGTCAATGATACGTAATGTTAAATATCATTACTCATGCTGTCAACCACTGGTTTGCCTGACCCAGACTCGATCATGTCATCGTGTAGCTGTAGCATTGCATTCTGCGGCATAAAACATCGCATCAATCCAAAAAATTAAACGTGTCTCTAAATCTTATTCGCGTTATATGGCTAAGCGTTACATGGTTTAGCTACGTCGGGTAGCGTAGTGGTTAAAACGTTCGCTAGTCACGCCGAAGACCCGGGTTCGATTCCCGACATGGGTACAATGTGTGAAGCCCATTTCTGGTGTACCCCGTCGTGATATTGTTGGAATATTGCTAAAGGCGGCGTAAAACCATACTCACTTACACTTAATGCCAAGATGTCTTATGGAACTCCCCGACCATACACATACACGAACACACGAACACACGCACACACGCGCACACACACACACACACACACACACACACACACACACACACACACACACACACAATACTAGTAAAACTGCACTCACTAACTCACTCTTGCATAACAAAGATAATTTAGATCTTAAATGATCTCTTACCACTTGCCATTTCTGGTGTAATGTTGCTGTATTGTTATAAAAGCGACTCACTCACTCACTCACGCGCGCATGCGTACGCATGTACGCCTGCAAGCGCGCGCGCACACACACACTCACACATGATGTTCATTGTTAACGTCTACTGTAGACTCCGATAAGGTGTAGATTGGGTGGCTTATTTGTAATCGTAATTTGTAGCCACTGACTCCAGCTCGAATACTTTCTGGTCGTGGTGATTGAGATGTGATGGATTCTCCTTGGGTGGTTTTACACCAACAACTACAGGTTACTATTACGGGTCACTTTTACTATTACAGGTCACTATGACTATTACATGCCACTATTAAAGGTCACTGTTATCATTACATGTCACTATTACTATTACAGGTCACTATTACTATTACAGGTTACTATTACAGGTCACTATTACTATAACAGGTCACTTTTACTATTACAGTTAACTTTTACTATTACAGTTCACTTTTATTATTACAGGTCACTATTAGTATTACATGCCACTATTACAGGTCACTATTACTATTACAGGTCACTATTACTATTACAGGTCACTATTACTATAACAGGTCACTTTTACTATTACAGGTCACAATTACTATTACAGGAAACTATTACTATTACAGGAAACTATTACTATTACAGGTCACTATTACAGGTCACTATTACTATTACAGGTCACTATTACTATTACAGGTCACTATTACATGTCACTATTACTATTACAGGTCACTATTACATGTCACTATTACTATTACAGGTCACTATTACATGTCACTATTACTATTACAGGTCACTATTACTATTACAGGTCACTATTACTATTACAGGTCACTATTACTATTACTCGACACTATTACATGTCACTATTACTATTACAGGTCACTATTACTATTACAGGTCACTTTTACAGGTCACTATTACTATTACAGGTCACTATTACTGTTACAGGTCACTATTACATGTCACTATTACTATTACAGGTCACTTTTACTATTACAGGTCACTATTACTATTACAGGTCACTATTACAGGTCACTATTACTATTACATGTCACTATTACTATTACTCGACACTATTACATGTCACTATTACTATTACAGGTCACTATTACTATTACAGGTCACTATTACAGGTCAATATTACTATTAAAGGTCACTATTACTATTACAGGTCACTATTACATGTCACTGTTACTATTACAGGTCACTATTACTATTACACGACACTATTACATGTCACTATTACTATTACAGGTCACTATTACATGTCACTATTACTATTACAGGTAACTATTACTATTACAGGCCACTGATACAGGTCACCCTTACAGGTCACTATTACAGGTTGATGGTGTTGGAATCTTTGCTCACGCCATCAGCCACTAGCTGTGACCTGTCCCAGTGCAGGGCGTACCTGGACGCCGTGAACTTGTGTCAAGTAGACTGTCCATCATTCTCTTTCAACATGCGTACTTGGCCAGGAGATTCCGGGGCATAGTAGTTTAGTTTATTTAGTTTATTAGTATATGTTATTCTCATGAAAAGGATAGGGCACAAGTTATCAAAGCTTAGAACGCCCCCTCCCATAG